AATAGTTTATACAATTTATTTCATTTATGCTTAAAATAAGTTGTGGAAAAAGTTTACTAATTATGAATTATATGTATCAATAAGCAAATAACTCTTCATGATTTTATATTTAAAAAATTTATGAAAAACAATTTCCTCAAAAGAAAGAAATTATATATTTATTCTCCCATCACATGTTTTGCATAATTTTGCATATTCTTTCATGTGCATAATCTTTTTACTCATTACCTTTGTTGATATTCACGTTTATATTAATACTTTTCCTTTGTTATTCGTGATGAAAAGGGGAAGAGATCAGTATTTATTTCAAAGAGTTGAGTATATGATTTAGGGAGAGAAATTTGAAGAATTTTTCAACCAATTTTGTTTGTTTTGATGATTGGATATGAGTTAGGGGGAGAAGATGATTAATATGAATGGTTGATCTGGCAATTTTTTCATAGTTGATATTATGTTTGATTTTGTGTTTTGTCTAATATCGATAACATATTTTGAGTTGCTAGATTTACTTTAATACTTGTCAATTTTCTTTTGCTTTTCACGTGGTATTGTTATTTTCATGTGTTTCAGGAAACAAGTTGACAAAACGTTGAAGTAAATTTCGAACGTTAAATTGTTGGGAAGATTTTTGTTTTGACTCTGACATTGAAATAAATGATTTTATCATGAAATGCCAAAGGGCTATATATATATATATATATATAGAATGCAATTAAAAGTCAATGGAATGTCAAAATACTGTGCAAGTTTTGCTTTTTCCACTAAAATAATTAGATTCTGTCTAGTCGACCTTAGACGACCCAATCTAATTATTAGTCTTTATTTTTTCACTAGTGGCCTTTACAATTATCCTAGTAGCACTAGGTTTACCTTTACAATTTGATGAATATATCCAGTCATCGATGATACTTTGCATGTCCTTTCATATAAATTTAATGTTTAGAGACATGCTTACATGAGTTTAATAGCACTTTTTACAAATGAATAGTTTAGATAATTTATTTCATTTATGTTTAAAATAAGTTGTGGGAAAAGTTTACTAATTATGAATTATATATGTATCAGCAAGCAAATAACTGTTCATGATTTTATATTTAAAAAATTTATGAAAAACAATTGCCTCAAAAGAAAGAAATTATATTTTCAGTAAGCAAATAACTGTTCACATGTTTTGCATAATTTTGCATATTCTTTTATATGCATAATCTTTTTACTCATTAATCTTGGTGGTATTCACATTTATAATAATAATTTTCCTTTGTTATTCATGATAAAAAGGGGAAGTATCTCCATTGATGATGCTCGGATATTTGCAAGGGGGGTCATGAGAATCATAGATACCATCTATTTCTTGAAGTGCACCAATTCAACCGTCATTCTATCTAGTCTGATCTTGCAAAAAGTTTGGATTCATGGAGAAATTCAATTCTTCGGGGATGCTCGGAAAACCTACAAAAAATGAAGTATGATTCCCAAAAAAAAAAAAATTGCAGCAAACGAAAACAGGGAACATAACTGCATTTCGTGTCCTAGGCGACATGTCTAAAAATCCACCGTCTGATGGTGTGTTTGGGAGGCTGATGTTAATGTGAGAAGCTCTAACTTCACCTTTTGAAGGACTCGGAATAGCTTGAAATGGCATTGGTTATATCGGTCGTTTGATTTTGTATATTCAAGAAAGAAGAGCCTAAATTGAAGATTGTGACAGAAAATCAAATACAAGCGGTATGTTAAAAAAAAGAGAAAAAAAAGGAATTATACCTAATCTCTAGAACTTTCATCTTCTAGAGTTAAAGTCTTTCCCGATGCTTGTGATGCTCGATCTCCAGGACTACTGTGATCTGGAATCAAAATCGCTTCTAGCACCTTATCAGCAGGCTCAGAGGTGGCAGCAATTTTTGCTGTGGAAACTATAATTTTAATTCTCTTAATACCTCTTTCATTTTGCTAGTTTGGATCCCTCTTTCAAGAACCCTCTTCAAGAGCAACATTTGGAGGGTTTAACCCTCTAGCTATAATCCTGTTCGGAGTCGAACCAAGAACAAAGTCACGGCTCTCACTAGAAAATAAGACTTGTAGCTGGACCCTGGTCAAGAGTGGCAACACTTAGCTATTCCACCAAGCCTGGTATTCAACATCAACATTTTGATGTATATCACTCACCTACTTTGGAATATGAAATACAAACCCACTTTTCGTCCAAGTCAAAGATAACCAAACCCGATACATGTCGCCTACACTAGGGACAATATTCAACTTTCTTGGTCAACCAGGAAGTTTCTGTCTAAAGCCAAATTATCTCGCAAACTTGTCAGGATTCTACGCATCAAGAATGAAAGGTGAATTTCCTTAACGATAAGAAACAAATCCAGATCAAATACTCATCATGAATTCTGAAGTATCTATAGACCTTGGTTGTTCATCCACACGTACATCAGGATGAGACTATGAGGGTAATGGATTCTAGCAAAAGTCATTGGTGTCCATTGTTCCATAGATAAGTTCCCGACAATCAACAACATTTTTTCCCCAAGACTAGAAAGCATTCAGAGTGCCAGCATATCTTCGAATTAGAGGGCGAGATTAACTCTTATCCACGTGAGCATAAACACCTCGGACAAAATAAGTTTCCACCCAAGCATAAAGAAGCTGAGCAACTAAGTTCACCAGCCGCTAGGACCAATTGCTATCCCCAGCGTCAGGTCTCATCACTTTGGCATAGCCGCTCGACAAAATGGCTGCCCCTACTGTCAGGTTATATTGCTTTAGTCTGTCCCATGTCACTCAAAGTCGCCTCCACCTGCATCTCTCAACTCGTAAAAGGAAATCTCATTTCCTCCAGGTTTACATCTGATTGTTGGCTTACGCTTTCCCCAAACAAGCCACCAGTTCATCCTCCGATGGTCCTTTGACTTCTGAAAATGGTTTGGAGAACTTTGTAATAGCTACCTTCTTTGACTCCTTCCATATAACTACCCTATATTCGATACCCCAAATTTCATTTTTCTTATGCATATTAGAATCTTTAGTATGGAGATAACGAGTGTTCCTACCCCTTCCTCTTCTAGTGATCTTGTGAATAATTCTTCCTAAACTGCTCCTTCCTTTCTTGTAATCTCTCCATATCTTTTATTTATTTCTTTCTTTTTTTTGAGTCGATTTATCTCTTTCATTGTTACCCCTACGATCACTCCTTCATAGTGATGTGATATTCTATCCCTTTTATCCTTCAACTCATTCCTCCCACTTCCTAACATCACCTTACTTCATCCCTCAAACCCCAAGCATTCTTAATACAACAAAATGGATTATCTCCACCTTCATCCCCATTGCCCATTTTCCAAGTCTCTTAAACTATTTCATTTTAATCGTCTTTGTGCTTCCAGAAATGGTTCAAACCTAAATGGCCTTTCTCCTTTCCTCCTCCTCCTCTTTTACATTGGCCTATTAGTAAAGATAAGGAATGGTCGATGATCAAACATCATAAAATCACAATGATGTAACCCAGCCGACGAGAACAAATCCAACCAATCATTGTTATAACAAGCCATATCCAAACATTTTTTATATTGTGATCTCCATGATTTTTATTGTTCCACAAACTCTTATCAAGTGAATAACAATCAGATAAAACATCTGATTGTTATATTGTGATCTCAAAAATTGGACTGTACATTTCTTGTAATGCTTATTTAGGTGGGAAGTTCCGATACATTTTTTCCATGTTAATATTTCTTTGAAGTACTTGCATATTGCTTTCTGATCCAATTTCCAATCTACCTGACTCGTTATCACTAGTTTTAATTCATTTTTGTTTGCCGACTGAGCCTACCACAAGCATTTCTTTTTCCTTGGAGTTATCCAAATTATTTAAATTAGTTCTCCAAGCACATCTTCGTTGTCCAAATCAACTAAGTTGGAATGTCATTAAGATCACAAAATCGTTGATTGAATGGTGGAGATGTAAGGAGAGCTACACATTGTAGTGTGTTGGAGCTGACACAAAACATATCTTTAAACTCATTATTCTCCAAATAATTAGTGTAATACATTTGAAATTTGAATAAAATATGAAATTGGAATAAGAAAATACAAAAAATGTAGTGTGTTAATTTTCCAATAAAAGAAATTTTTGATAGAAATAGAATATGCATGAACCAATGAACTAATTGTATGAAATTGAATTAGAATAATTGAAGGGGAAAATTTAGAATGTATATTGTAGAGAGTTGTATGAAAAATAAATTGGAACATTTTCACTAGCCAAGCTCGTGTGTCAGTCTCATGTAGCTTGTCACAGCTCGCCAAATTTTTTTGGCACCACTTTGCTACCAAGCACAAAGTAGTAGAGTGATCGAGCCAACGAGCTGCTGAACTAGTCAATTGTCAATTTAGCCGTTGGATCCCATTGCTTAGTGGCTCTATTTCATTCAAAAAGTCGCCTTTACCTCCATCTTCCCTCTTGTAAAAGGAGTCCCGTCTCCTCAAATTTACCTACGATTACGGGCTTATACTTTCCGCAAACAAGCCACCAGTTCATCCTCTGATGGCCCTGGACTTTGGAAAATGGTTTGGTACACTCTTTAATATCTTCTGTAGGCTCATCCTTTGACTCCTCCAAGCAACTATCCCATCCTTTATACTTCAAATCTCATTTTACTTATGCTACCTATAGTATGGAAATAACAAGAGTTCCTTCCCCTCCAACAACCAGGGACCCTCGTGAACATTGCTTCCTAAACCAATCCATCTCCTCTAATAGTTCGATATCCTTTTTTTCTAGTCTATTTATCTCACTTGTTGTTACTCCCGTCCAATCATCCCTTCATTGAGGTGGGTAGTATATCCATTTATCGTTCAACTCATTCCTCCTACTTCCAAACATAACCTTACACTTCCCTCCAACCCAAGTATTCTTAATCCAACAAAATGGATTATCTCCACCCTAAACCATTGCCTATTTTTCCAACCACTACAACAAAAGTGGTCTTTTAAGGCATTCATTTACGGCGTGCATCTAGCACATGCCGTAAAAATAAACCAATTACAGAGTGCGCTAGATACACACCATTAAAAACTTATGTTATTAACTATTTACGGCGTGCTTCCTTTGCACGCTATAAATGTACACTTTACATGGCGTGCAATAAGTGCACGCCGTTTCTGAGACTTTTTTCCCCCCAAAATATATAACAGAAATCTTATTACAATTGAACGATCGAACTACTTCAGGAAAAAACCCTCCGCCTTCAATGCTGCCAGTAATTGAAGTGTGAAATCAATTTTCGTTCATTTCTCCCTGCCGCCTTCAGCCTCTAGCCCTAACCTCTCAATTCACCACCTCCAGCAACCCAGCCAACCAGTTACTGACGGGAGAACCCTAATAATTTGTAGCCAGAAGAACTCGAAGTTGTAAATTGGTATGCCAATAATGGTATTATTGAACAATTTATTATTTTACTTTTTATGACTTAGTCATTCTTCTTTTCTAATTATTGTATGTCACAAGCCCAAATTAAGAGAATTAGAATGGGGAAAGGGATAAATGGAAAATTAATAAGAATGGGGAGGGGTAAAAATGAGGAAAATGCAGAAGTATTGAGAGAGAGAGAGAGAGAGAGAGAGAGAGAGACGAAGAGGAAGTGGAATTTAATCCATTCTCAGACCTCCCAGGTTGCCTTGTCAAGTGGAGAATCTGATCAATGAATGCGCCATTGACATCCAATGTGAGTTCTGCGATTCACCAATCTAGATTGCAAGATGTTTAAGAGGTAGCGTTCGTGCTGTGCGGGTTGGCTATCACTAGGTAATTGTAGCATAGGCATGTTGTCATTCCCTAGTTTTTTCTTCAATAAAGAAGCACAAAATTTTGGATGAATTTTCTTCCCTTCTTGTAAAGCCAACTGATATGCTACTGCTCCAACTTTCTTCACAATTGGATATGGGTCAATATATCTCTCACTTATCCTGTAGTTAGCTCGACATTCCACAGATTTCTGTGTATATGGATGAAGTTTCAGGAAAACACAACCGTCTTTCTCAGAAGACCTCTCTATTCTATTTTTATCTGCGTAAAGTTTCATCCTAGCCATGGCCTGAGATAGGTTCTTCTTTAACTGTTGGTTTGATTTGTATCGTTGTATCTCCCCCACTAGCCTCTTTATTTCTGTTTTCTGAATAAAAGGGTATAGATAGGGTCTCATTCTAAATGACTATGCTCCCTCCTTCAAGGGAATGTGATGATAGTATAATCTAGGAGGAGGCAACTCTGTTGAAGAATCAAAATCTGTCCAATGCTTTCAAACTCGATGGTGGAAATTATTTGGAGGGGTTTCAATAGGTGATAACACATCTGAGACGAAAATGAATGTTATGCACCCCAATAGCCAGAAAGTAGCAAAAGAGGATACTAAATTCACCATCTAGGCTGAGGAGGATTTCTCATATTATGCCCTGTTAATCAGTTGAACTTGCAAGTTATTCTTCAAGCAGTAATTAAGTTTACAATGTCTAACAAGAGACATATTTAATCCATCTATCTCAATTGAGATATCACCGATTATAATTATCATCAATATAAAATATAAGCATAGCAATCTGACCATCCATTGCATGCTTAAAAATCTCAGTCTAGTCACCTTGACTTAGAGTATAGCCCATTCTTAAAACAACTTCGGAAAACCTTTCAAAGTGAGCTCGTAAGGAATTATTTTTAATTTTGTAAACTTTATAAATCCAAATGACTCCTCAAAATTAGGTGGAACGTCTATACAAACCTCTTCATGTAATACGGTGTCAAGGTATGCATTTTTGCATCAAGTTGTTGCAAAGGCTAATCGTAGTTAGAAGAAAAAAATATTTAATTTTGAACAATATTCACCACAATACAATCCTAAACCATAACAACACAATTCCAACATCATACCAAAAATTTAGTTAAATTCCAAATTACTTCAATATAAACAGAACCCACATCATAAATCAACAGAAGAAGCACAAAGCAAGAATTTTACTGGACCTAGTGAGCAACTCAGTGATCTGCCCCATATAATACTCATTGTACTCAAGAGTCTCCCCATAGGTAGGCTCGTGTCTATCCCAAGGAAAAACCTAAAGTCCCAACTGCACTCCAGCTGTCCTGGCAGCTTCTGTCAACTCTTTCACCACATCACCAGCCCCATTCCTCCAAGAGCTAGATTTCATAGAATAATCAGTACACTCAAAGGGCCAAAGACAGAACCCATCATGGTGTTTTGCAGTTAGTGTAACTCTTGAAAATCCATTGTCTTTAGCCACAGGGACCCACTGCGTGGCATTGAATGATGTGGGGTTGAACACTGATGGGTCTGTATGCCCTGTCCCCCATTCTCAAAGTAAATGTAACTATTTGGGTGTTTGGTCTTCCAACCAGCTTTCTTATCAAACTCAAAAGCATTAGTAACCTGCATAATACAAGCGGGGAGATAAATATGACATTAATTTTTTGAATTAATTTAGTTGTATTATTGACTAAGCTATTAAATGTATATAAATTTAGTTTTCTTGAGTCTCAGTAGGCTGAAAATGATTCTTTCCTTTTATGTTTCTGTATAATCCTTGTCCACCTAGTTCAAAAGGATAAAATGTTCACTAGCCAGTATTAGATCCGTGAAGATCAGTTTTTTTTATCCATTTGCCAATACAAGAATCATATAGTTACAGCCTTAATCATTGGCACCTCATAGTGTCTGACCTTTATTAGCATACGAGTATTTTCTGGTCTTGTTTAAAGACGAGTAATTTCTGGTCTCGTTCAAAGAAACTCCTTGATTCGGAGATCCATGAATTATCAGGGCTGAAGTAATTGAAGTAACACCAACCTTGATTTTTTCTTCAGACAATATTATTGACTAAGCTATCATGACTAAGCAGGTTTTTGGTCATACATATAATATGACTGTTTCAATTTCGCCTATTTCAATTGAGGTTTGAATTAATTTTTTGTAATTTCAGTTTGTGTGAAGCTTTATTGCCAAAATGACTTACCTAATTGGAACTTCATTTCTATGATGTCCTAATAAAATCGTTTTCACTGTGTCATAACAGATTATAACGTAGTAGTGTTGGTATATTATCATGGATAAAGATTGGGTACACTTATCAAGGTTATCTTATTCTCTTAAATTTAGAATATTTTAAAATATGTCTACAAATGCTTTTTAGACGACTTATTTAACATTTTTCCGTAGAGTTTCAGAGGCATATCAACGTGGTGCAAGAAAATTTGCAAATATGGTGCAAGCCAATGCAGGAATCCAAAAAATGTCATATGCCCTTACAAATGTTGCAAAAACCTATTCCACCAACATTTTGATACAATGTATGGGCATTTGATCATTAATGGCATGGATCCTAAGCATACTACCTGGGTGTTTCATGGGGAAAAATCAAATGCAGCATCATTGCCTCCTCAAGACGTGAAAATTTAGAGACGTATAGGATGTATAGAGATGCATTTTTTCAGGATGACAATATTGTACAACCCGAGAATGAAGATAGAGAGAAAGACTTTTCAAATTTTTATGAGGGCGTAGAAATTCCTTTATATCCTAGTTGCACAGAGTATACAAGGATATCTGCAACCGTTGTCTTATACAAGCTTAAAGCTACATATGGCATATCTGACAACGGTTTCAATGAACTTTTTGATATTATTCAAGATATGCTACCACATGGGAACACCCTTCCTAATTCTTTCAATTCCACAAAAAAGTTATTGAAAACCTTTGATTTAGGGTATGTGCGTAAATGATTGCTGTTTGTTTAGAAATGATCTAGAGAATTTGGAGACATGTCCTAAATGTACATCTTCGCGATGAAAAGTCAATGAACGGACTAAGAAGATTAAAAAAGGGATACTTGCAAAGGTTTTGTGATATTTTTCGATTATACCACGATTTATAAGAATGTTTAGGTCACTTGATAAGGCAGAATAGTTAATACGGCACTCAAATCACAAAAGTCTAGATGGAAAAATGCGTCATCCAGTTGATTCGTTAGCATAGGTGAGAATTGATCAAAAATGGCCTTGTTTTGCTTCAGAACCACAAAATCTTAGGCTTGGCCTTTCTTCTAATGGATTTAATCCCTTTGGTGACCTAAGTTCTAGGTATAGTTGTTGGCCAGTGATACTAGTTACATATAATCTCCCTCCTTGGATATGCATGTGTAAGGAAAATTTGTTGTTGACTTTATTAATCCCAAGTCCCAAGCAACCTGGAAATGATATAGATGTGTATCTAGATCCACTAATAGAAGACTTAAAGGAGATGTGGAATATTGGTGTTGAAGTATATGATGCATTTACCAAGTCCACATTCAATTTGAAAGCTGTGTTGATGTGGACAATTAATAATCTTCCGGCTTATGGGAACTTATCAGGATATCCTACGAAAGGGGAAGCAGGATGTCCAATATGTGATTTATCCACATGTGCAAAATGGTTGACATGTAGTCGAAAGTTATCGTACATGGGTCACAGAAGATTTCTTGCACATAATAACCCTTATCGGTCGAAAGAAGCATGGTTTGATGGAAACAATGAGTGTAGGCCTAGTCCTAAAATATTAACATGTCGAGAAGTGATGTGTTCAATCAAGAATATTAGCAATAATTGGGGAAAAGCTGGAAAAAAAAAAGACAACTAAAAAAATCAGATTCTAATTTTCCTTGGAAAAAAAAGTCAATATTCTTTGAACTACCATATTGGGAGATTGGTCACTTTAAACTATTGTGAATTATTTATTTCTTTGCTTAAACTTTTCTTTTTCCTAAATTTATGTTGTTATTTTTCAGATACTATTTTTGCGTCATAATTTGGATGTAATGCACATTGAGAAGAATGTTTGCGAAAGTATACTTGGAACTATTTTGCATGTGAAGGGAAAATCAAAAGATGGGTTAAATTTTCGTAAGGATTTAATCAATATGGGTATTAGAAAGGATCTTCATCCAGAATTGAAAGGAAATACATATTACCTCCTCGCCGCATCATATATGCTATCCAAAAAAGAGAAAGAATTATTTTGTAAGAGGCTATTTGATTTAAAATTACCTTATGGTTATAGCTCTAACATTTCAAAGTGTGTATCATTAGCAAATTATAGGATTTTGAATCTGAAAACTCATGATTGCCATGTGCTCATACAACAATTGCTATCAGTTGCATTACGAGGGCTTTTACCTAGAGAACTAAGAACTACAATTTTTCGACTATGTGCATTTTTCAACGAAATCTGTCAAAGAGTCATCGATAAAAATAAATTAGAAAAACTTGAGGAGGATGTTGCTGTGACTTGTGTATGCTAGAAAGGTATTTTCCTTCATCCTTTTTTGACATAATGATTCATTTAACCATCCACCTTGGGCGTGAGGTTCACATTGGTGGACCTGTGCAATATCGTTGGATGTATCCAGTTGAGAGGTAAATTACTATTATACTTTTCTAAGTATTCAAACTATCTTCTTCTAATTCCTTAGATATCTCATGACTATTTTATGATTTATTAGGTTTATGAAAATACTTAAAGGATATGTGAAAAATCATTCAAGACCTGAGGGCTGCATAGCAGAGCATTATTTAGTCGATGAATGTATGCATTTTTGTAGTGTTTACATGAAACAAGCTGCTGAAGTAAGTGTTCGACATACTCGAAATGAGGATTTTGAGAATGAAACAATTATTGATGGACGTCCAATTTCTGAAGGAAAGTCAAAGACTTTGAGTCCAGAAATGTTAGAGGTCGTTCATCGTTATGTGCTATTTAATAGCGTTACAGTTGAGCCATATATAATGTAATGAAGTTAGTTAATTTATTAGTTTAACATTGAATTCTCATAAACTTCTCTTACTATTTGTTTATTTTATTTTCATTTAGGATGCATAAAGAGAAGATTAAGAATTCAGATAGCCGTATTGTCAAAATGAATCCTTATTACAAATGAGACATATGGAGACTTTCACTTCATGGTTTGCGAAGAAAGGCAAACAAGACAATTGTAACATGTCTAATACATTGAAATGGCTTTCATGCCGGCCTAGATATGATGTGATATCACATTCTAGTTATGTTATCAATGGACATCGATTTCATACAACCGATGTTAGTAGAAGTGCACAAAACAGTGGTGTTTCTATTGAAGCACAAACTATTTGTCGGTTAGC